TTTTTTTTTTTTTTTTTTTTTCTTTTTTTTTTTTCATTTATGCAAGTAATTCCACTTGTTCAATACCACGCTGCATCATTCTTATTTGTGCTTGTTTTTAGGTTATCAGAGCACCGTCAAATTCATTCTTCGCAATACTACACATCTACTTTAAATTTTCTCTGACTATGCTATCCTACGGAACTGGAGGAATCTACCAGATTCATCAAGCTCCTCTTCGATTTTCATCGGGCTACTGATTGAGTATTAAACTGAAATTACTATTTTTTAACCTCTGGCACATGACCATAATATGTCAAACACTAAGGTAGAAAATTTTTTTCATGTTTGCTTGTGGATCTTGCCATACCTAGGACTTCCTTTGACTTTTGCTGCGTATCCGACACCAAAAATGACTGCATATGAAAAGGATTTGATATTCCAGGAGAGATTCACGAAGTCTAAAATCGTTCCTGAAGTGATTGATAAAGTACCATTTTACGAAGCGGAGGTGAATACGCTATACGAATAGCTTACATTAGAATTGAGACGCTCTCATATGGTCAAAGCATGTTGCCTGCAGGGCTTATAATAGTTGAATGGCGATCTGCCAAAACGTCCGTCATCAACTTGGGTAATTTTCAATTAATTCTTTCGCCTTTCTCGTAAAAATCAGTTCTCATGTAGTGAGGGAAAAACAAGCCACGAACTTTCGAATACATACGTATTAGGCCTCTTAAGTTGTCTTTCTGTGCATACATGTAAAGAGAGGTTCCTGATGAAATTCGTGACTTTAGTAATTTAAATTTGTCAAGAAAGACCGTGATTTTTTATAAAGTACAAAAATTGATTAAAAGAGAGGGTTTACAACGCCCCCAAAATACGTTCTCTGCCGTTTATCTATGTTATTCTTAGCTACTCTGTTCTCATTTTTACGTATTTATTTTTTTGATATACCTGAAGCGCCAGGGCTAGCCTCACTTCTCCCTCGTGTTAGTAGATACGAGTGCTCTGTCTTTAAGTCTTTGCATTTTACACAGGTAGAGTTTTACAATGGAACTGTAGAGCTTGGCAACGACTTCATAATTCATCAACTTTGGCGGGAACCGGCGGAAATTCTCTGGCCGATTGACGATTTCGGACCCTATTTTTCACTTGTTTTTCTGGGTGAGACTTGAAAGACTTATTCGCTTCCTGGATTACAATAGTCTCAATAAAATTGCGAGGAATGATTGGACTACTCTCATCGGAAGAAACTATTCTTCTAAAATTTAGAACTAAAGAGTCTGTCCGGCACTATTTTTTTTTTTTTTCATTTAGAGAGACTTAGTGCGCAATAATCAAAACATATACTGTGAGAGAAACAATTTTAATGTTCCTATCTTGAAACGAAAATGTAATATTCCGATGGAAAATAAAATAAAATTGTAAAACATCGACGATTTAACTGCAAAGTACGCGTAAGTAGCTCCATTTGCGACGCTGCAAACTCCTCCGTCGATTTATTTTTTAAATACCCGATATCATCTTTTAAAAACTACCCTAAACCTTCTTTAACGTGTGAAAAGTTTGCTGTGAAAACATCAAGCAACGGGGAATGGTGTTTTTTTTTTTAAAAAAATAAAGTAGGAGCAAAGATGCGCGTTTTCGGAGTTTCTCCATGGATGTCTATTTAGAAGAGAGTAGTTTTAGATTTTATCTTTTAACCTATGTAGGTAATGAAGCTCAAATTTGAGGGAACTGCATTACCTAGTGGATACTATTTAGATTGGCGCCATCCGGTTCAAATATTGTGTTCTCTATGAGCTAGAGTAAGAAGTGAATGCAGCGAATTTTAGTCAGTCCTCTTACTGCAGTATGAGACCTTAATTTTTTAACCAAACCAAAAAATGGGCAACAAAATAAGCTGTGTGACATTTTCGATTCTTGAATAGAACATAAATATCTTCGAACAAAATAATCAGAGGATACACGTCAAAATCAATCTACGAAAGTTTCAGCTTAATAGATTCTTTAAAGGTGCCTCTGCCAAAGTCAGGCTATCGAATAAGTTTTAAAAAAGTTTCAGATTGAATTTTGTTTGTTGTTCTGCAAATGAAAAGTTAACTTTTTGAAAATAAAAAAGGAAAAATTAATTTTTAGGCGAGAGGCATTAATTTAAGAAAAAAATAGAATCCTCAGAATTTTACAAAAATGAAATTATAATTTTTTTTAAAATTTGTTATTATTCTTTAAAATCTTGTTTAGCTCCCGATCACCCAGATCCCGCTATGCCACGTTTTCGAGAGTACTTGCTGTGGCTCGTGGTTAATATAAGAGGAATGGACATCGAAGAAGGTGATGTCATTGCTGAATATATCATGCCACCCCCTCCTGAAAAAAAGGGTAAGGCCTTTGAGCATTTGTGTGCTATTGAAGTGCTTGGAGGTGAATTAACTCTTTTTTAGATTTACGCCCTAGGAATTAAAAAAATAAGCTCGTAAGTGTAGACAACGGCTAAATTCTTGGCTGAGCGCAGCGTGCTTGAGAGTAGAAGATCTTATAGTCGTATTTCCTTAGTGATGAATAATAGAAATAACTAAATATTTTTTTAAATACAGGGGGCGAAAATTCTTAAAAAGGAAAAGAAATAAAAGAAAAATCAGCTGCATAGCTAACAACTAAAACGTTGTGCTTATGATGATGATTGCTCGTGGCCTAATAAATGGAAAAAACTAAAAAATATTAACGGATGATCTAAGGAAAAACTGATAACTTCTTTGATTCTTTTCAGGTCGCCAACGCTACGTATTTTTAATTTTGCAGCAGAGGTCAACTGGCAAGCAGAAAATTATTGAAGAGTACATACCACCGTGGTAAGGAATATACGAGTGGGTTTTTTTATTCCTTTAATGTTACATGCATAATTAATAAAGGCAACTTGAGTGACTCAAATGGCTTTACCAAGAGTAGCTATATTTCACGGAGTTTTTGCGCACATAGTCAGAGAGCGCGGTAATAAAGTCATTTCATGAACTGTTTAGTAAGAATCGGACATAAAGATGCTGAAATCTAGTTAAATCAAAAGGTTATATGATGCACGCAAATCCCAAAATATACTTATTTTCATAATAGTATATAAATACGTCCAGTAGACCACTAGACGAGGTACGAAGTTAAGCATTCTGATACATGTTTCTTAATTAAAATTAAACGCAGAACGCACTATTCGTGCAAACGAAAATACTGAAATTGATTCAGAACCAAGATATTTAATCTTTTGATGACTAGGTTACTCATTAGGTGCTGCACCTCTCCAAACCGGGTTATTTTTCCGAGCGCATGCTGTGTAAAGGATGTTTTATTATTCTTACTGTTATGTGTTCCCTGCTCATCCCAGCGACTTGAAATTTTGTACAGGTGATCTTGATAGGTTGTAGAATAAACGTACTTGAAAAGAAACGCAATAAATAAACCTTTACGATCGAAAAACAACGACAGAACCACTAAGGCGGATAAAAAATGGTGGTCGCATATTTCGTATCCCCTTGACGTGATCCCGGTTTAGGAAGCTCCAACTATTTTGGGACTGAACATCTTTGACTCTGTCAACATTTTATATCCCCTTTTTCTGATTTTTTTTTTTTTGGAGGCTGAAATGGAAAAATGACTTAATTTGTGGCTTTATTGACATACACATTTTCCTGAAAATTCACAATGGGCAGTAAAACTATTTTTGAAGACAACTACTTGTGCGACATGAGCAACAATTGGGAGTAATTAAACGTATGCTGGAGGGTCTCATTCTTTGCCCTCAGAATACGGCGCTGCGGCCAATATGTTAACTTTATAAAGCAACTACAATGTTTAAAATGCCTAATGTAGGTAAATGGTTGATTTTAGCCCTGAAGACGATGCTCGAGCAAATTTCTCAACGAAAAATTTCATGAAGAAGTACGATTTTCACCACATTCCGGCAGCTGGCAATTTCCTCCACATCAACTGGGGAATGACTTTGTAGCTTAAAGTCCTTTTTAGTGTAATTTTTCTTAAGTCATTATCTTCTTTGTATTTTATAGCATCTTCATTGCGATTAATAATGTTCGTCATTATTTACCAATACCCTTTTTAACTTAAACAAAAAGAGAAAAAAACCCAGAAAAAGTTCCTATCATTCCAACAGATCTTGCCACAAAATTGATCATTTTCGATACAATTTGTTTCGAAAAGTACTCATTACCATCTATTCATTCTTACATGCTATGATTGTTGAATCATGTTACTTGTATACTAATCTATGATTAAGAGGCAGTAAATATGACTTGGGAGTAAAGTTATAAAATGCCGTTCCTCCACTGTAAACAACGCCTTCAAAAAGGAAGAACGCAAATGTGTGTATTTGGAAGTGCGGAAGTTCTGGCAGAACCAAGCCAATCTGAATATCGCATATGACACGAGGACTCTTCAGCGCTATGAAGACGAAGTGGCCTTGAAGTGTATGATCATGTGATCTATAAGCATCCCCACCTCATTCCAACAACTAGTTCGGTCGCACATGATGCTCTTCAGAAGAATATGTGAGCATCTCAAAAACTGTAGTAAAATTTTTCCTATAGCTTACCAAGTTTTCCTTGTTGAATAAAATGGCGTGGATCGTTTCGCAATTAAAAGAAAGAAAGACCGGTTGTAGAGTGGAAGTGTTGGAAAGTCATGAAAGCAAGACATAATTTTTATTGTTCGATATTCAATGTTTGACATTGTGATTAACTCAGGACGAACATTTAATCAATGAACGAGTGAATAAATTTAAAAAAGGGAAATGGTAGTACTTGATCGTTATATAATGACTGTATACGACCGAAAATTATAGGGGAAAATTCGGTCATGTATTCCTCGTCTAGATCATTGAGTACTTTACTTGAGGTAACTTATTTTTTGAATATGCTGTACAATAACGTACTATTGTCGTAATGCGCAGCATATAAAGCCGCTCGTGAAATTTAAAAAGGAATAAACTTCTTCAAGAATTTCGGTGCAAAATAAGAGTTAGTAGTAATGTTACTTCTAGAGATCTGCCGTGCCTAGTAAAAACACCGTATAATCATTTGAATGTTGCCAAATTTCCTCTTTGAAAATAATTATTCTTCGAGAAAATAATGAATAGTTTTCCTTGAAAATTGCAGAATTTTCAGATCAAGAACAAAATCCTTCGTAAAACTAGAGGAGAAATATTTACAAATTTTATTGAAAATTTGAGATTTGTCGAAGGAAATTTGGCAACCCCTGATGGCTCATACGGCGTCCTTACTTAGCATGGCAGAGATCTTGTCGGGGCGCTTAATAAATCACGTAGCGGATGTCAACAACGCCTCAATGAAAGTAGTCTATGGGTGCAATGCTGTTGTGCACTCAAAATTGCAGCCACTTGATTTGAAGGCGCATTATGACCACTTGCACACTATCACCATGAATCTATGACCTATGACGGTTTTGTTGGTCCTAAAACATTGGAGTAATGAGAATAGCAATTATCAAGAGAGAACGGTGGACATATTGAAAATTTTATAATTTACATTATATGTGAGAAATGAGCGGATTTTGTGTTAATAAATTAACATTCCACTAGCCGAAAAAACAAATAACATAATAATTGCGAAACAAGATAGAAGTTGTATAATAATCCTTAACTGAACTCATATTAAAATGATGCAATAAGTAAACAGGGAAAGGCAAGAAAAAACAAGCGGGAAAGCTCTAATACGTAGGTATTAGAGACTACAGAGAGGCGCTCGGTAAAGGGAAAAGTACGGTAAGGGGAAAGCTGAAGAAACGGGCACAGGATATGCTCAGAGCAACGGAGATAGATTTCTGGAGGAGGTCGGCAGGAATTTCGAGGAGAGATCGGGTCCGTAATGAGAGAATACGTCATATCATGGAAGTCGAAAATGACATCGTGTTCGACGTCATGACCAACCAGCTCGCCTGGCACGGTCATGTCAAGAGGATGACGGAAGAGAGGCTGCCAAAAAAGATGCGTGATTGGGTTCCTCCTGGGAGGAGACGAAGGGGACGCCCAGTGAGAGGGTGGCGACAATGAAATGAGGGAGAGTCAACTCCCTGATGACCTGTGGGGAGACCGAGTTTCGCGGCGATTAGGCGTCGCACAGCGCCAAAGAGCGGTATAAAAGCGACTCATGTATGTATGTACGGTACCCAAAGCACAAGTACAGAATTTAAAGAAAAAGACACGGTTCAAAAGCTGCATTTCTATGATAACGGTAACGCAACAACTGTGTCATATAGAGACGAATTTTACAAGGTTAAGAAAAAGGCATCACCGGTAGCAAAAAGTTCGGATGAAAGAAACTTAATACCTCGACTTTCAGACATAATAATAAAATAACTATAAACTTCCTGGCAAAGAAAATGTTGGGAATGTTATTTATTTCATTCGCTAATTTAAATTTCAGTGCGGTCAAGGGGGTATTATTAGTTAGTAAAAAGAAAATTCTGAGAATCTCTTCGGCCATGTTTTGTTGAGTTGATGAGCCATTCAATCACTTGAGCGCTTTAGAAGAACTCCAGTGGCTAAACGGAAACAAGGCTGATTGCTTGAAACCTATTCTTAAAAAAATGCACTTGTGAATGAATATTATAATGAATAAGAAAAAGTTTGTAAAACTGGACGATTTCCTTTTGTTGAAAAAAGTACTGTTTTGATGTAAAAATTACAGCCGAAGGTAACAATCATCCATGAGTTGTCATTTCATAAACTTAATTTTTTTCATCACTATTTTTCTGTGAGTTTTGACCCTAAAGCATTATTTATAAAACGAATACGTACAATGTATTTGGAATCAAAGATATTTGTGATTTTATGCATATTGAGTAAAATTGATCGAATTGAGGTGTAAAAGAAACGTGTTTAGTCTTTCACGCTGAGCGTTTTTGAATACTCTGCGGAACGCTGCGTCAAAATTTCAAACCATACTTTGCATTAAGCGCACTTGTAAAACACGTTCGAAATGAATCAATTTTAAAGCTTGCAAAAACGCCGGCAATTAATTAGGGACGAAGTCATACTATCAAAATGAAACAACTATCCCCTACATTTGGGAAACTTTATCTTAGTTTGTCTCAGTTTCACAACAATATCACATCAAGAAGCTTGCGAAGAAAATACTATTGAGATGTGAAAAATGACAACAGATGAAGGCTCTCGAACTTACACGGCTGTTTGATACCACTATTCGTTCTTTATGGATGTGCTTGAGGTATCATCGAAATTGAAGGCGAAATGAGATATCTGGTCTTGACTGGGCCTTCGCGCCGCACTTAAAGACGACTTTTTCCCAACAAAACGAGACGACCATCACCGACATTTGAGTAAACTTTATCTTAGTTTTTCTGAGTTTGACAGCACTATCGAGCCAAGATACTAGCGTAAATAGCGTAAAAAATACCGATGAGATGTGAAAAATCAAGAGGTGACACCAAAGCAGAGCAGAGAGCAAGGCTCTCGAACTCTCACGGCTCTTTGATACCACTATTCGTGTTTTATGGATGTGCTTGAAGTATCATCAAAATTGAAGGCGAATTGAGGCATCTGGTCTTGACATCGCGACTTTTAAGACAATTTTAGGTATCAACCGTGTGAATTAGCGAAATTCTTGTCGATGTTTTCAAGAGTCTGGACTCTAGATTCAATGCGTTTTTTTTTTCCAGTGGAGTTCAAAGGTCTCCCGCCTTTTTAGCCAAGAAAATAAAGTAAAAATTAAAAAAATATCGAGGAAGAAAAACCCCAGACCCACATTTTTTTGGCCGAGATCCCCCTTCAGAATTCCAGACGAGAAATTTCGGAGAATTTCAGACCCTATTCTTACCCTATCTAGTGATCCATCGACACGGAATAGAAGCCTTAGCGCAAAAACCCATTGATGCGCTTCAGCGGTGTCTAGCTTCCGTCTCGCATGACACCCCCAACACCAGCTCCCAATCCTCGGTCCTCAGTGCGTCTCCCCCGACGCAATAGACCCCTACGCCTACGCTACGCTTCGCGTCCGTATCCGTAAAGCGCAGTCAGTACTCTACTCCCGTTCCCGACAGCTCCATCCCTCCTCCGAATCACGGGAGCCCTCCCGCAGCCTCCCTTCGCGCGTCGAGTTTTTTCACCTGATTTGTCCTCGGTATCGTTCGGAAAAGAAAGTCGAGAGAGTCCTTTTTCGTAATGATTTGTATTCGGTCGTTTCGTTATATCGCGGAAAATCTGTGTTTTCAGTTTAGTATCGGAGTGTTTTGAAAAGACGGGTTAATGTGATTCTGCATCGCTTGTAGAGACGTTATTTTAAGTGTTTCTCGATCCTTGTTTTGATTGCGTTTAAATGAGGGAGACACCTCTCGAGTTCGTATTCTTCCGTCGTTTTGGATTAATTTGCAAGTTTTCGGAATTCGCCGTCAGTTTTTGGGATCGGATTCCTATCCTGTTTGAAGAGTGAAGAACATTTCTTCTTATCTTTTGGCCTGTTTTTCCGTACCGGAAAAATTGTTTCAAATTTTTGTAAAGTTCGTTTTTTTAAAAACTCTCATTATACTCGAATCCGTTGTTTTCATCAAAGGAGAGATAAAACAGATATAAAAAGTGTGAAAAAGCGTGTTTTATACAGTGAAATAAGCGCCTGTTCTTTTAATATCCCCTTACATAAATATATCTTTCTATTTGAAGGCCGTCTTTAGTCTTTACTCTCTCGGACTTTTATGCGGGTTGTACAATAGTTCTTTGCATCAGTCTTTGCACGAAACGCAGGTGTTACCTGCAGTGCGTACTACACGGGTTCCTCATTCGTTAATGGATGTTTTACTCGTTAATCGTTCCCTTGTGATTGCAATTTTTTGAATCAGTGTTTATTTGATACTTTTACGGCGCAATTGCAAATTACGTGTCGTTTTTCACGATCGAAAAAAGTTCGAAATAGTTCAGAACTTTCAAATTCAGTGTTACTGGAGAAAAGTGCGTAGCAACATACCGAACGAGCACGAAGGCTGGAAACACCAATGAGAGGTATGTTTAAAAATTTCAATTTTCTTTGATCATTAGTTTAAAATTTCATCAAAGCAATGATCTCATCATGCTAAGGAAAAACGCCGTATGAGCGTTCGGCATTGCCAAACTTCCTCGGATAAGATAAGAATTTTCATGGATCTATTATGGATTTTATCTTCCGAATATATTTTTCTTCCAATTTTTCAGAGCATTTCATTCGAAATTTGATCTAGTGTATGTAGTAATTTTAAGGCAAAATACTCATGACTTTCCTCAAGAATTATTGTTTTGATGGATAATATTGGGCGACCTTTGAAGGCTCATACGACCGGTGGCGTGGCGTGAATGATCGATCGTCGATATTTCTCCATTTGAAGCCATGGTAAAGAATCGATGATCAAGGTGTTCACTGCGAACACCCTGTTTATCGATCCTTTTCCGTAGGTTTGAATGACAGATTAATCAATATATCGCAAAGCACGCCACGCCACTGCATACGACATTTTTCCTTAGCATGCCAGAGAAGGCCCCGTGTAATATTTCAACTTGGTTTTCTTTTTTGGAAAGCACGAGCGTATCGCTTA